TGCAATAACCAGACGATGCTTTAGGTATCTATATAAACAGATGTAATGATTTGTGGTGTAATGATTTAACTGCGATGCAGTCATTCCAGAGCCTCCATTTTGTGACATGAGAAACAAATGCCATTAAAAGTGCACTGATGGTGGCGTTTGGATAGGAAATGAAAGCCCTTAGGGCCAGACTGCTTTGATCAGAGGGATTTAACGGCTCTGAGGATCTGTGTCTGACACACACTCACAGCTGAGCAAGTCCTGCTTCAGTGACATGCCCTCCAGTTATTTGCAGAATTAAGGAGAAATTTACTCATTTCACTTACTTCAACAAACAAACAAACGCTTTTTACTTTTAATGGGACCACCCAGTCAAAAAAGTTTTTTTCGTAAGAAGGTGTGATCAAATAATGCTTCAGTTTTGCCATGCCTTCTTATTATAAGCATCTTTGGGAATTTATTAGACACATATTTGGGCTTGCTTCCCTATAGCACAAAAAAATGTGACAAACCACCATCTGCAGCTGTCAAATATTCCCATCTACTGTTCAAGCTGCCATCTATGTCATTATTAATTTCTGTGATTATGTATTTCCAAGACCCTCTACCTCAGTGATGTGGAAATGTACACTATACATTTTGTGTGCATACTAGAATAATAATATATTGTAAATTAATAATATATTGTACAAAATGTTACATATACAATTGGCTCTTTCTCTCTCCTCTCTCTATATTACAGTACATTATTATTATTATTATCATCATCATCATCATTCTAGAAAAACCTGCTATGGTCGGACCAGGTTGCTTGTTTTTCATGCAAGATCTGCCAGCACTGTAATGCTTAGATGGCATGTATAGCAGCAATTCTTTTTATACTCTGGTTTTATACTCTGCTTGTCAAAAATGAGTTAAGCTTCCTTTAATGCCTTAAGGAGATGACTAAAGTATTAGTCAATATTATGTATAAACTGAAAGTGCTTTAGCCACATACATTAGCGCCGCACTCTATGACTACGATGACAAACTCAAGTCAGATTATCAAAGACTAAATCCTCTCTCGCACCTTGTTAAAATTCACATATTCATGAGATCATGGCTGTCTAACTTTGATTTGATGACTCATAAAATGTTTGTGAATGTTTATTTAATTGTCTACAAAGCACTGTTGAAAAAGTGATCTGTTCCCTTTTTTTAAAATCCAGATATACAGTGTTCAAGCAGAAAGTCACACCGCTGATATTTGGTGTTTTTGAGGATTAGTGGCAGTATTTTGCTGATACTCTTTAAGGATGTACAGTATACCTTTCCCTATCAGTTACTGGCAGATGTTGGATTTTTACATTTATATTACCTTTGCCATCATCTAAAGCCGACTTTAAATGAATCTTACAAACACTAATAATTAAATAATACTGTTAAATATAATCTTTAGCAGTTCTCTTAGTGAATATCCATGAATATCATACCATATTACCGTTTTCAACCGTTAACGTTTTCAACTTCACTTGAAACACTTAAAGATTGATTTTAGTTTTTAGTGCATTTTTTTTTTTTTTACTGTACACTATATAGTACAGAATTTTGGCCGTTTATCACTTCCCAGGCATAACATTAAATAATTATTGACTTATTGGCATTGCTAATACTATTTATCCTATTGAGGAAGTGTTAAACTTTGAAGCCTATCCATTTGTTATAATGATACTTCAAATCATACATTGATTTAGTTTTGACCATTGTGCCTTAATGCCATTTCTAAATATAAAAGCTCCTAATGATTATTCATCCACCTTTCATTCTTTTGAAATGTGACTCAAAGCGTATTATTTCCTCTCTCTGCCTCCTTCCTTTTTGAGCTTTCTGAAAGGCCCTTAATTGTTTTGTTTGACACAGAATTGATGACAATAACATTCTGAATTCCTGATAACATGAAAGTCTTTCACTGTTCTACGGCAGCACATGCATCATTACTCTCACTAAACTATTCATTCCAAACCAGTGTAATCCTGAGGTTACTAGCATTTAGTTTCCTGTTGTTTCGTCTGTGTGGACTCTGCAAGAAGATATGAATGTTCGCCAGTCTTCATTATGAATGACTTTGCATTTCTGCTATCTATTTGTTCATCACCACACATCCATTGTCTCATTGTCTTATGTTTATCTGCCAAGGGAAAATGTGAATTCAGAGAGAAAACATGACAGAGAGATTATTTATTGAAGATAATTTAATGTTTTACAGTACTTATGAAATATCCATGTTGTCTCATCAGATACAGTGTTTAAAGGCAAAGGTACAGTATCTCCAGCAATATAGTAACATGTACATCAGATAGCCAAAATGGATTTATCGTATTTTACAAACTTTTTCTTCAGTGTGTGTTGGTGATGCGATGCCTTTTATTCATTACATGGAGTGTTTGAGTGTTTTTTTTTTTCTTCATGTACACATGAATATGTAGGCTAGTTATAAACTGAAACACTGGAGAAACACTTAAGGTCTTTCTCGATTTCTTCCTCTCCAGTCAAAATGTTTCACACAACCATTTGAGGGAATATATTGTTTTTCCTATGTCCTCAATATAACTTTCCATCCTGTTAGTTTTTCATAGAAAATAAAAAACCGTTCCTGAAGGACATCATACTTCAGTAAGTGACATCAATTTTGATGAGAAAATCAATAAGTATTAGTAATGGTTTGATCAGTTTTGTGATGTGTGATTATAAGTTGGTTTGTCTCTAAAATATTCCACAAAAATAAATAAATAAATAAAAATCCACCCAGATTTACTAATAGCTTGTGCCAGCACAAACCCTCTTTTGACATTTAAAAACTACGACAGGATTTACTAAAGACATGCAGTGACAAATTAGCCATGTAAAGGCGTGGATGCAGTTATTTTGCAGCTGACCTTAATGCATATGCATTTGTAGGAGTTTCTATTTCAAACGCAAAATGTATGGTAGGAGAGTATTTAAATAAATCTTGCAAAGTGTTTTACTAAGGTTTGCAGTAGTCAGTTCGCTGGTATTATTTAATGCCCCAAAAAGCATGTCTTAATCCATTTTGTGCTTGACATGGCTGCAATAGTTGCTAATTTGCATCGCTCTTGGTAGATAATGTTGGTCGTTATTGGAAATGATCTGGCTGCGTCTGTGTTCACATTCTACATTGTCAGTAGATCAGCGCTTTCATGGGATTGTGGTCTTTGCTAATTTGCCCCGTTTAGTAAATCTGGTCCTTAGTTTTTTGGATGTCAATGGTCACCAAAACTAATTGGTGGCCAGCATTCAAAATATCTTCTCTTGTCTTCCACAGAAGAAAGACATTTTGAAACAACACAAGGGTGTGTAAATGATGACAGAATTATGATTTTGGGGTGAAATATCCCTTTTAGTGCCTATGATTCACCAAATCGTATTTCTGAAAATATTGTATACCGTTTTATAGAAATGCTTTCTTAAATTACAACACAGCCATATTTTTGCAGAATTTACTGCATAGCAGGAATGACCCATGTGTATTTTTTTGTGCGGTTTCTTTGACCTGCCTAAATCCTTTTCCCAAATGAATCCTGTGGATTACCAACATGTTCAGCCACGTGTGCTGTGCATGCAGTTGGGCTAAATGTGCTGTACCCCAGTAGAGCAGATCCTCAGAACCTGCGTGCTTTCACCGAGCCTCCATTTCTCACAAATATCATCACACGCCTCAGTGCTCTTCTGTTTCTCTGCTTGGTGAAATAAAGGTGCGGTTTTGTGCTAAACAAGCCAACATGGGTTAGGGCTGTGACTTCAACAAAGAGAGAGAGAGAGAGAGAGAGAGAGAGAGACGGGAGGGAGGGGTGAGTGAGAAATTCAAGCACTGTTTAGTCCATTAGCATCTGTTATGTTGCTGTGCTGTAGGTGCTCAGAGAGGCTTTGCGTGGAAGCGTCCAACTAAGGCAAGTTCCGCACACATACACACGCTCAAGCACACATTCGTGCATGGAGAGCAGCTGTGTGTGATTTGGAGCTGTCCTTCAGCACCACAACACAATTGAACTCTCACATGGTGGGGTAGAGACAGACACAGAGAAAAAAGCTCGGAAACTTTCGCTCACTGTAGACTCCTGCGCGGCTCTGAGAAAAGAGCCTGTAAGTATGTTGATTTACTTTCAACTTAATTGATTTTAAATTAAATTAAATTATTCAGTGGAAGGAGAATTAAAGCGTTTTATTGTGCATTGAATGTTTCAGTGTTTTTTATATGTCGCATAATATAATGTTTGTATTTTTTATGAAGTTTTTGTTTTGTTTGAGGTGTGAGGGTTTTGTTTTTATAGAGGATATTTAATAGACTTGGTTAAAAGCTTTTTATTCCTACTGGGGTTGCCTCCTCATGTTTCATTGACTATTACTTCAAAGGAAGAATTTCTTGATGATTCAAACCTGTCGTGAGCTCTTTATCGGACTATAATGTCACTGTTTCAGTTCTATAGCTTGAATGTCTTTCTTACGTTCCCTAAAGGTCAAACATAGTGAAAGAGCAGGAGCTTTAAGTAGGTTAAACCACTGAATAATTCATGAACATTTTCACTGTTTTGGTCTAGTGTGAGCAAACCTTCCTCACGCAGTTTGAGTCCTGGGAATGGATGGTGAATTCACTGGACCCATCTCATTAAATAAGATTTCTCCAACATATCAGACTATATCCATCCTCTCTACCACTTTACGGCTTGCACAGCTATGCGCATGTTGATGCATCTCTCTGCTATTTAGTGTTTATGCATTTATAACGCTCACACTTGACAGACCTCAAACCGAGATCCTATACTTTGTCCCAATGCTCTAAACCACACATCTTTATATGTCCCTCTCTTTCTGTCTGACTTTTCTTCCCACCATCTCCATCGATATTACCGATCCACCCTGAGGCTGTAGGTGTTTGAGGGCTGAGGATGTTCCTTGTTGTTTATCTCTTCTCAGCAAGACTGCATGTGTAATGTTGTTTTTTGTGTTTCCAACAGAGTACAGTCGATTTGAAGCCAAAATCCATGATCTACGGGAGCAGATGATGAACAGTAGTATTAGTTCAGGCTCTGGCTCATTGCGGACTAGTCAGAAGAGGACCCTGTATGTCAGGTGAGCTTATCCTAATCACCACTAGTTACATTTGATCTTCCAAACATGCTTAGATCCTTAATCCTCAGAGATCAACACAGGAATGTGGCACTTCAGAATATGTAGTATATTCAGCACTTCATAGTGTATTCTATTATAGAGTTTATTGTTGTTATTATTTTAAATAGTTTAAATATATTAAATAATAAATTCTGTTTATATTATATAATTATATTATATATATAAAGCAATAGATGATCAGGATTGCTGTGTGAAACTGCTCCTGAAGTTTTGCTCTTATTTGGCTTTTGTTTGACTTTATTCTTTAGCTCTCAGGTTGCTGCTCGCTCTTATGTTTTAATAAGAACAGGTTTGACATTTTGAGTATTTGAATGCCCCTGGGCACTGGATTCTCTACACATGCATGCATGTTCACTGATTTAAAACCTAATGTGATTTTTCAGCTGTGTAGGTCACATTCAGCTCAACCCATAATATATGCATATTGTCCCTGCATATAATTATGTATGCGTTCTGAAAAATATCAGTCAAATTGGTCATCATAAGAGCAATTACATTATTTTAATTGACAGGAAATCTAATCTAAATTGAACTGAAAGACATAAAGCAGAACATTTAACATAGTAAGTGGATGTAATGAATGATTAATGGAAACAAACAGTGATGGAAAAAAATTTTCTTTAAAGTGAATGTTGCAGTGAGGCTGTTTGCTCAAGTTTGGTTTATTGCATACTTTTACATTTTAGGGTGTAGTTTGTGGCTGTTTCTGAAAGATTTATACTAACACAAGCTGTTGTGGCAATGTTAACATAGCTTTTGATTTTAGTTTTGATGGACACTTAAAATGATGCAAGGATGCAGGTAGAACTGCAGTCATCTTTGGCTTTATATATCCCGCGGCATGTTTGTGACACAGAGTCAAGGTTTACTAGGCCACTGGTGACATGTAGAGCCAGTGACGTTTATTGACTTTACATTTCCTTTTACCTTGTGCTAAGAAATTGTGTAATTAGGCCTTTTTCATGACTCAAGGAACATTTATCAGTGATATTTTCTAGTAAGTGCCTAGTCAATGCATTTAAAAATGTTTAGTTGTTCAACTGGCTGTCATAGCACAAATATAATTTTGACCTTTCTGAAAGAGACACCAGTTTTATGATCTGATATTACATTAAAACCTTATATCTACACAGATTGAGCTTTTAATCTTCGTTCTGCAGGCCCTTTACGATAATGACTTAATGTCTCCGCTTCATCTGTGCAAGGATACAAATGTAGCCTATTGCACCTCTAAGCAGATTAAAACTGCACAGAAATCATCTGCACCATTTGCTGAAGAGTTAAATAAAGGTTCTTTATGTGCTTGTGAGGGTTAAAGAAGGCTTTGGTATCTGTATGTTCATTATAGCCCCATAAGCTTCTCAGATGCCCTGGCTTCCTCCTGGAAGTGCTTCATTATTGATGAGGAAACAGAGATATGCTAGTCAAGAGTTTGGACAGCTAGTTACTTCAGCTCCAGTTCTCTTAAATGCACACGCACACATGCACAGAACAGCAGTGGCCTACTTAACGTCTCAGGAAATCTGTCTGTGGGCAAATGAGTTAGGAAGACTGGCTTTGTAAGATGAAAAAAAAATTACTTTGGCATAAGAGAATGGTTTCAATGTCTTTATAGTATTTTAATATTCATAGAATCCCATGTGTGCATAGTCTAGAGGCTTTTCTTGCTGTTGCATCTGATTTATTCAGCTTTTTTTAAAGAAAAGGTTTCATTCTCCCCCTGAAAATCATAATTTTGTTTGACATGCCCCATTTTTACTTTCCCTTTGACCTTTAAAATAAAGGCTGTTCCCTTTCAGTCGGTCACTCTCGACGTCACGTCGGTGACCGACGAATTGGGAATCTCGCTAGAGAGACCAATCTACTTTGAGTGTAAACAAAACGAGCCAATGCCCATTGGCATGCGATGATTGCATCCAGCTGCCGCTGATCGCAGCACGAGTATAAATAGGCAGCAGATGCAACGAATACTCAGCTTTTCGCTTCGGAGCCGAGCGGTGTTATCGTTCTGCTCCTGCCAAGCTTCGTGATTCTGAATGAGTCCGCTCTCAAAGGAACTTCTTGTGCGGGTGTTACAGCGCGACAGCGGGTTGGTCAACCTTCGTTGAGTGGGTGAAAACTACAGGCTGCACTACCCCCTGTAGTGTTGCGGCGGCCATCTCCCCAGTGTGCTTCAGCACATCTAAAAGAGCAATCCTAAAAGAGAAGACGCGTCTTTTTAAAGATGGCATTTCACCCGTGCGTTTCTGGATGCAGTCATACTTGGCGCCGGGTGATGGTCACGATCGCTGCCTCACGTGCCTGGTCATTAAGCACGCTGAAGTGGCGTTCGTGGAGTCATGTTCCAATTGCAAGAAGATGACCATCTCGGAGTTGTGGATCAGGCTCCACTACCTCAAAAGGGGTGGAGTTCCGGTGGCTCTGCCACGATCTAGTTCTCTTCCTGGCAGAAGTCAGTGGAGGACTACTTCTGGCAGTAGCTCGGGCGGTTTGAGGATCACAGTGGCGCCAAACCCTCCGAGGAACCAACCTCCCAGGGACCGCCACTCCTCTTGCACTTCGCAGCCAGCCGAGCTCCCGAAGGAACGTGCTGGGCCGTCTACAAAGAGCATACCAGCCGTATCCTTTAGGGCTCCTCCCGACGATCGGATGTTGATCGCTGCATCCGAGCCGCCGAGAGGGTAGGGCTCGAGTGGAAACCTCCACCGCGTCCCGAGCCCTCGAGGTTGGATGACTGGTTTCTCGGGGTGGCCCGCACTGGTTCTCAGTGCCCCACTCCGGTGCCATTCTTCCTGGAGGTGCATGAGGAGCTCACTAGGTCGTGGATGGCACCTTTTACTGCCAGAAGCCGGCCTAGTGGTTCCTCCTCCCTCACCGCCCTTGATGGTGGAGCAGCCAAGGGGTATACAGAGATCCCCCCGGTGGAGCGGTCGGTAGCGATGCAGTTGTGTCCTGGTACTGCTTCCACCTGACGGGGCAAACCGGCCCTTCCCTCCCGGGCCTGTAAGCACTCGTCTGGTCTGACCGGCGGTGCTTATGCGGCTTGTGGAGAGGCTGCTTCCACCCTGCACTCCACGTCAGGCGCCAGGCCCTCACTCGCTGAATCCTTGAGAACCGATAGAGGGCTGGGTTCCATACCCCGAGCCCTCGAGGTTGGATGACTGGTTTCTCGGGGTGGCCCGCACTGGTTCTCAGTGCCCCACTCCGGTGCCATTCTTCCTGGAGGTGCATGAGGAGCTCACTAGGTCGTGGATGGCACCTTTTACTGCCAGAATCCAGCCTAGTAGTTCCTCCTCCCTCACCACCCTCGAAGATGGAGCAGCCAAGGGGTATACGGAGATCCCCCCCATGGAGTGGTCGGTAGCGATGCAGTTGTGTCCTGGTACCTCTTCCCTCCCGGGCCTGTAAGCACTCGTCTGGTCTGACCGGCGGTGCTTATGCGGCTTGTGGAGAGGTTGCCTCCACCCTGCACGCCATGGCGTTACTGCAGGTCCACCAGGCACTGAAGGACCTGCACGAAGGTGCTCACGATCCGGAAGTTCTGAAAGAACTCCGAACCGCAACTGACCCCGCACTCCGAGCAACGAAGGTCACGGCGAGTTTCCACGCTTGTGGTCCTGGAGCTGCATCTCTGGCTGTGTCTGGCCGACATGAGGGACGCCGACAAAGTTCGGTTCCTTAATGCCCCTGTGTCCCAGACAGGCTTTTTCAGTGACGCAGTCGAGAGCGTCGCCCAGCAGTCCTCGGCTGCACAGAAGCAGACTGAGGCGATTCGACATACCCTGCCCCGGCGGGCATCTGCTGCCTCCACCGCTCCCGCGCCACAGCAGCCTCCAACTAAGCATCCGCCCCGCCCATCTCAGCCCCCGCCAAACCTGGCGGCAAGCGGAAGAGCAAGAGGCCCTGAGACAGGCAACCCAGAGATGGAGGGATTTGCTCTTCGGGAGATGGTGAACGCGCCACTCCCTCCCCCGGAGGAGGGCCGGGCGGAGAATCTTTTGTTTTGTTTTATCCCACCACTGACCTCTCGGTCGATGGTACCCAAACACTCAACAAAAGAGCAATTTCCTCTATTTCTGGGTCTCAAGAGGGCATGGAGAGCTGTGGATGGTCCAGAGCCGGATCACACTCATCCTCCTCTGTCACCAGCGAGCAGCAGCGGACGGTTCGAGAGTGTCATCAAAGGCCCAACTCACGCACCCTCTGCCCAACCTTGGAACCAGGTAAGTGTTACACCGCACACTTAGACTCCGCTTCGGTTGGTCCACGAGCTGCCCGAGCCGGGTCCCTGCGTTCCACCTCGCTGCCCCACTGCGGGTACATCGGTGGTTCTGCTGGTCCTGCTTGTATGGTATCTGGAAGCCTGGCTAGCGCTGTCCAGTCTGTCTTGCTGGCTCCTTCGGACCATCAGACTCGGCTACGCGATTCAGTTCACCCGGCATCCCCCCAAGTTCAGGGGCATCCACTTCACATCAGTGAAGGCGGCCGATGCTCCTCTCTTGCGTGCAGAGATCGCAGTCCTACTGGCGAAGGATGCGATAGAGCCGGTCCCTGCAGCCGATATGAAGACGGAGTTTTACAGCCCCTACTTCATTGTACCCAAGAAAGGCGGTGGGTTACGACCGATCTTGGACCTGCGTGTCTTGAACCGGGCCCTTCACAGGCTACAGTTCAAGATGTTAACGCAGAAACACATCTTAACTGGGCCCTTCACCGGTTACCGTTCAAGATGTTAACGCAGAAACACATCTTCGGGTGCATCCGTCCCCGAGATTGGTTTGCAGCGATCGACCTGAAGGACGCGTGCTTTCATGTCTCAATCCTTCCGTGCCACAGACCTTTTCTGTGGTTTGCGTTCAAGGGACGGGCATATCAGTACAAGGTCCTGCCCTTCGGGCTGTCCCTGTCCCCACGTGTCTTCACGAAAGTTGCGGAGGGGG